CAGCCCGGGCCACTGCAAACGGGCTGTAGGATCAGATGCAAGACAAAACCGAGCAATCCTCGCCTGTGCTGGTCTGGGATGCAGCTCTGCCTTTTAAATGTAGTAAGAGTCACTGAGCTTGCTCTGGCTCTCGGAGCCGCCCATGCTGCAGCTCCCTTATACAAATTGTATCAACTACACAATTAGCCAAATATCTCCTCCTTTACACCTTACAATGGACCTCAAAGGCTTAGACTCTCAATTCACCCCATCTGAAATCATCATAAACTTAAGCTTGAGTGGTACAGAACTGATAGGTCCCAGCCCAGGCAGAGAACCTTTTCCTTGCGATTTACCTCATTACTGTCATCTCAGACTTGTGTGTTCTTCTGATCAGGATATTATGAACCTTCCGATGGCATGATCGTTCCAAACAGTTGAAACAAATGGCAATCCACACTATGTGGTGTAAGGCAGTGGGTTTCAAATGTTTTTTCTTATGACCCCATTCAAGAGAATTGTTGATGCCCATGACCCAGTATAATTATATCTTTTTACTGAAGTGCAGGCTCCAGAGTGGGGCTGTGGGGCAGCGGGGTTTCCGGTGCCAGAAAGTGCAGGGAATGAAGGCTCTGGGGTGGGGCCAGAGATGAGGAATTTGAGATGCGGTAAAGGGGGATACGGGCTCTGTGTGGGGATGCAAGCTCGGGGGGGGGATGAGGTATTGGGGTTCAGGAGGTTTGGGAGACTCAGGGATGGGACAAGGGATTGTTGGGGCCCAGGCTTAGCTCCAGCAGCAAACTGTCGGTGACGCAGTGGGGTGCTAAGGCAGGCTTTCTTCCAATCTGAGCACAGTGGACTGCACTACACCGTGGAAGCAGCCAGCAGCAGGTCCAGCTCCACTGACTGCCCTGCCCCAAACTCTGGCTCCACACTCACATTGGCCGCTCAAGAACAAATAATTCCAAGCCAACATAACGTCAGACCAATGATCCATTTAGCCCAGTGTCCTGTCTGCCGACAGTGGCCAATGCCAGATGACCCAGAGGGAGGAATCACAACAGGTAATCCTCACGTGATCCCTCCCCTGTCATCCATTTCCACACAAACAGAGGCTATGGGTACCATTCCTACCCATCCTGGCTACTAGCCATTGATGGACCAAACCTCCATTAATCTAATCTAGATCTTTTTTCAACCCTGTTAAAGTTCTAGCCTTCACCGCATCCTCTGGCAAGGAGTGCCACAGGTTGACTAAAGTAAAGAAAAACAACTTCCTTTTTTGTTTTAAACCTGCTGCCTATTAATCTCATTTGGTGACCCCTAGTTCTTATATTGTGGGAATAAGTAAATAACTTTTCCTGATTAACTTTTTTCACACCAGTCATGATTTTATAGACCTCTAGCATATTCCCGTCTTCTCCTTTTTTCTAAGCTGAAAAGTCCAAGTCTTTTTAATCTCTCTTCATATGGGACCCATTCCAAACCTCTAATCATTTTTGTTTCCCTTTTCTGAACCTTTTCTAATGCCAATATATCTTTTTTGAGATGAGGCGACCACATCTGTACGCAGTATTCAAGGGTTTTATATTTAGAGGCAATAAGATATTTTCTGTCTTATTCTCTATCCTTTTTTAATGACTACGAACATTCTATTTGCTTTTTTCACTGCCAATTTTTTTTTACCGGATAGGAGGCGAAAATACCGGACTGTCCAGGTCAATACCAGACACCTAGCAACCCTGGAAGTATACACTAAAAATTATGTTTTCTTGGACTGAGTTAAGGCAGGACACCAAAAGGTGATCCACATATTCCTGTTAGACAGAAGGAAGAGACACTTTTGTCTCTCTGGCTAGTCATGTCCAAATTGAGTACTGTATCGTTCAAATAGACATCCATTTAGTCTGAACAAAATGTTAACCCCCCAATTACCTGTTTACCCCTTTCTCTAGATCGGGGTGGGCAATAATTTTTGGCCGGGAGCCGCTTCAAAAATTTTTGAAGTGGGCCCGGGATGTCCCAGAAGGGGCGGAACTAAACCTCCTGGAATGAGGTTTAACAGGCAGTTCAAACTAGGGCTTTATTTCGAACTACCGGGTCCCTGCCGCGTATAGACGTGGGCAGTTAGTCCGGACTTGTAAATTTCAAAAATGGCGACCGGTTGGGAAGGCGCAAATCAAGTGTGCGATATTTAAATCCTGGGCTTGATTTGCAACTTCGAATGCCTACATTAGCCTCCTTAGTTCAAACTAGGGGGCTAGTGTAGACATACCCTAGCAGATTAGTAAGACATGATTTCCCTTTACAGAAACCATGCTGACTTTCCCCCAACAAATTATGTCCATCTATGTGTCTGACAATTTTTATTCTTTACTATAGTTTCAACTAATTTGCCCAGTACTGATGTTAGACTTACTGGTCTGTAATTGCCAAGATCACCTCTAGAGCCCTTTTTATACATTGGCATCATGTTAGCTATCTTTCAGTTAAATCACAGAAGCTGATTTAAAGGATAGGTTACAAACCACAGATAATAATTCCGCAATTTCACATTTAAGTTCTTTCAGAATTCTTGGGTGAACACCATCTGGTCCTGGTGACTTGTTATAAAATAAATAAATTAATGGAGATTGCCTATCTCCTAGAACTGGAAGGGACCTTGAAAGGTCATTGAGTCCAGTCCCCTGCCTTCTCAGCAGGACCAAGTACCATCCCTGATGAATTTTTGCCCCAAATCCCTAAATGGCCTCCACAAGGATTGAACTCACAACCCTGGGTTTAGCAGGCCAATGCTCAAACCACTGAGCTATCCCTCCTGTGACGTAGTGGGGGTACTTGCTGGGCTGTGGTGACCCCTGCTGTCTGGAGCAAGACCCAGCAGGGAAAGCCTCACTAGGCAGAGGTAATGCCAAACTTGTTGAACCAGTGGCCAGACACCCCCCACGGAGAGGAACAAAGGAAGGTGGAATGCTGCCCTGGCTGGGGGGCAGGGCTTGGAGAGGGTTAGTTAGTTCCTATCTGGAAGGCAGGGAATAAGGAGCTGGGGAGGGGGCTGGGACTCCCCTATCTCAAGGGGGGGCACTGAGGCCTCTTAGCCCCAGTTCCTGTAACCAGATTACATCTGTGCTGCGCTGTGCTGGAGGAGCAATAAACCACCCGGTTCTTTCAGAACTCTTGGGTGAATGCCATCTGGTCCCGGTGACTTGTTAAAGTTAAGTTTACCAATATGTTCCAAAACCTCCTCTAATGACACCTTAGTCTGGGACAATTCCTCAGATTTGTCACCTAAAAAGAATGGCTCAGGTTTGGTAATCTCCCCCAATATCCTCAGCCGTGAAGACTGAAGCAAAGAATTCATTTAGCTTCTGCACAATGACTTTATCATCTTTGAGTGCTCCTTTATCGTCTCCATCATCCAAGGGCCCCCCTACTTGTTTAGCAGGCTTCCTGCTTCTGATGTACTTAAAAACATTTTACTATTACTTTTTGAGTTTTTGGCTAGCTGTTCTTTAAACTCCCTTTTGGCTTTTCTTATTATATTTTTACACTTAATTTGACAAAGTTTATGGTCCTTTCTATTTTCCCCACTAGGATTTGACTTCTACTTTTTAAAAGATGTCTTTTTGTCATTGCTTCTTTTACTTGATTGTTAAGCAATGGTGGCACTTTTTTGGATCTCTTACTGTAATTTTTAATTTGGGGTCTACATTTAAGTCGGACCTTTATTACGGTGTCTGAAAAGTGTCCATGCAGCTTGCAGATATTTTACTTTTGTCACTGTACCTTTTAATTTCTGTTTAACTAACTTCCTCATTTTTGTGTAGTTCCCCCTTCTGAAATTAAATGCTACAATATTGGGCTCCTGAAGTGTTTTTCCCACCACAGGGATGTTAAATTTGATCATATTATGATCACTATTTCCAAGCGATCCAGTTATATTTACCTCTTGAACCAGATCCTATGCTCCAATTAGGACTAAATTAAGAAGAGCCTCTCCCCTTGTGGGTTCCAGAACCAGCTGCTCCAAGAAGCAGTCATTTAAGGTTTCAAAAAATTTGATCTCTGCATCCCGTCCTGAGGTGACGTACACCCTGTTGATATGTAGATAGTTAAAATCCCCCCACTATTATTGAGTTTTTTTATGTTGATAGCTTTTCTAATCTCCCTTAGCATTTCATAGTTACTAGCACTGTCCTGAACAGATGGTCAATAATAGATCCCTACTGCTATATTCTTATTATTGGAGCATGGAGGATCTATGGAATATTTTGGCTCATTTAAGATTTTTACTTCATTTGGTTCTACATTTCCCATATAGGGCCATTCCCCCATCAGCACAACCTATCCTGTCCTTCCGATATATCTTGTACCCAGATATGACTGTGTCCCATTGATTGTCCTCATTCCACCAAGTTTCTGTGATGCTTAGTATATCAATATCCTGCTTTAAAAAGAGGCACTCTAGTTCACCTAATTTCCTTCTTTAAAAATGCTGTAGCATTGTAGTGCAGTTACAATTTACCGAGTGCATCCTAGTGGTCAAATGTTTTTCAGGTGCCCCATCTCTGTTAACCCTACTCTTGGAGGGCTGTTAAGAACTCCATGTAGTATATAACATGGATAACCGTATCCCCAGACAGGACTGGTTAAACAGAAGTGGTTCAAGAAATCCTCAGAGTTCACAAAATAAAATCCACAACCATTAAGAGTTTATATCTAGCCCTGTTCTTCTGCTACACATAGTACTCTTCCTCTCTCCCAGTCTAACGTCCTTATCTAGAAGCCCCACACTGGCAGCTTCCAAAACCCCTGCATATTTGGGTCTTAGTCTCTCTTACTGCCTGCAGTTTCCTAATCCTCTTTTTTCACTTAGTAACTTTCTGTCCTTTATAGGGAACTTCCTTATCCAACACAGGAATATCTGTTCAGTAATCTGGGCTGGCCAGCCTCACACCCTCCAGCAACAAGACACTCTGTTACAAGTAAATTAATGATTTATCCTCAACACTGAGACTTACTCATTTCCATGAACAGCTGTCTCTTCTCTGCCATCGTCCTTCTCCTCTTCCCACTCTCCTCAATCATTCTAAAGACAAAAAGTTTAAACTGTGTTTATACTACCAATTCTCATAGTATAAAACCAACATACTGCAAACCTTTACTTTATTCATCAAGTGAAATATTTCATTTTGATCTGTTCTCATCAAACCTAGTCAAAGAACAGGTGAATACAAAGTAACAGGTAAAAAAAAAAAATCAATAAATAAGAAACATTACGTATTTTTAAATCTAGTATGGCTTGGAACAGAATGCTAGCTATCTGTCTGAGATTTGTGCATCTGTCTGCGAGTCCATTTGTTCAAGAACTCCTCCTAAAACGGCAAGAATTAGGACCACCATATTTAACAAGGTCAGGGTTTGGTTGTGCTAAGAAAACAGGATATGCCAGGAGTGGAACTGTTTTCCATATAATGGAAAAGGAGGTGCACAGAGAGGAGGAATGTGATTTTGAGAGTGTCCACTGGGGGGCAATGAGCCTGCAGGTGAGAGCTATACAGCAGATTGCTCACTGCAGGCCATCAAACCATCAAGAGAGTAGCTCAGCAGGGCTGGGGCTCTACCATCTCACCTGCCCCAAGACTGGATAAGTAGCTCTCCTGCCCCAATCCCTCCCCCTGGGGGGTGGGGAACAGAGGGCCCCTGGTGGCTGAGATGGGAGGCCCTTGACAGCTGGGAGGGGAGCTGGCAGGGGAGACAAAAGGCCCTTGGGGTTTGAGAAGGGAAGTTGCCAAGGCAGGAAGGAGAAAAGGCCCCTGGTGGCGCGGGGGGAGGAGAGGAGAAAGCCCCACTGGATGGGACCCCACACACACCCTGAGCCCTTGTTCCTTCTCAAGCATCCTGCCCTGCCCCCACACCACATCCCCAAGGCTCTGCCCTGATGCCTGTGGTTCCCACATCACCAGCCTCCTGCCCTGAAGGACTTGGGCAACTCCAGGTAAGTCCTCTAGTGCTCTTACATTTTTAAATGCCTGTATCACACTTTTGGATGCCTTATTAAAATTATTAGTCTATTGAGAATGTCAAAAGTGGTCTAAATTGGCAAACTCCTAAAGAGTATTACTTATGTATCAAGTAATATTTCTAAAAATTAATATATATATATATATACACACACACACACACACACAAACACACAAACACACACAATTTTGCTTCTGTAATTCAGATTTTCCAAAATACCAAAGCAAGAGAGAGAGCATCGATTTACATCAAAACAGTTTTAAAAAAAAAGAAACCCTTTTACAACTTGGTATATGATTGAAATCAAGATTGAACGTTTTCTAAAGGACATGCTTTAGAAATTATTTTTGGGACGCTCTATGGATGTTCTATACAGAAGGTCAGGCTAAATTATCACAGTGGTTCCCTCTGGGCTTAAAATCTTTGAATTCCAACATCTGCCCATCTCTTACTGATCATGACTACACTATATTCTCAGTGACTGATACCAGATTTAAATCAATCCTAAAGAAGAGCAAGTGTAAGTAGCCCATCACGATGTTGACATAGAACAGTTGCCCACATGAAACCTTTGGTTTATACACAATATTCATTAACTACTTAAATATACGTTTATTGAAGATTCCTTAGGGCTTTATAGTTATTAAACAAAAGTAGAAAATTAAATTACTCAATTACATTTGATATAGAACCAGCAGTACAGGGTGGCAGCCAGCTCCCCAGGAGAGGGGGCAGGAGCCTGCATATAACCATTAACGGTAACCGATAAGCCCAGGGTTATCACTTAACTGTTTACAAAATTATACTTTTACATCCCTAGTGTGATTGAGTGTATATACACACACAATATATATATTTGAATGTGTTTGTCTGTCCACAAGTCTGTTTAAGAACTTCTTAAGGGGTAAGAGCCAGCACCACCAAAAAACCACACACAACTTCCTTTCCTCATAACTTAAAGCAAGGTGGGTGTTTGATTAGGCCAGGGAAATGGGATGTGCCTTGAATGGGATCACGTCTCATAAAATCATACAGAAGAGACACAATCACCAGGCAGGTGAAAGGGGCTGGATGGCCGAAGCTGGCTTACTACGTTTAAAAGGCAGAGTCACAGCATCCCAGACCAGCCCTGTCCGCCACAAACAAGGGCTGCTTGGTCGCAGCAGCCTCCCCTATCCCCCCATGTTACCTCTGAGAAGGGGGGCAGTGGCACCATGGAACAGGTGCTGGGGCTATACGGCTTTTAAGCCAGCTCCCCCCAGCACCAGCTCCTGTCCCCCACACCCCATCCTTTGCTGTCTCTCAGAGGTAGCAAGGGGGGGGGGACAAGTAGTCGATACTGCAGTTGACTACTCACCAACATCCCTAGTATGAGGCATGACCTGCTCACAGAATCTGGCAAGAAGAAGGTTGATATTGCAGAAATCCCTAGGAAGTGCTAAACATAGAGTACTCACACACACTCATCCCAGTATCAAAGACGGTACAAAAATATTGCCCAAGGGTAACAGGAACACAATGACTCCTCTTAAAAGATATGGTCAGGATGACAGTCCGGAATAAAGATGTTTTGAGTGAACTACCACGTACCCTCCACTCAAGCTCATCAGAAGATGATTTACCCAAGGAAGCTTATGATACTTTTATCTATTTGTTAGTTTCTAAGGTGCCACAGGACTACTTGTTTTAAAAAAAAAATTACAGACTAGCACAGATACCCCTCTGAAACTTTTCACCATGTATAAGGTGATAGGTGACAATTAACCATGTCAGGAGGCAGCAACTATGTCAGAGGTTGTATGCAATTTGTTTGTATCATAATACAAAGATGCATCTCAGAAGGAGTAACTATGTCCAGCGGAGACGGAATAGAAAGTCCCCCCATTCGCTGTGCTGCATCCATTGTCATCAATATACATGTTTTAGTATCATCACAGATTCTACCAGGTGCTGTTACTGTGCTTAACTGACAATAATCCTGGCCCAGTGTCTCCATGCCTTAACATACAGGCTGTGTCAAGACTGGCCAGTTTTTCTAGAAAATCAGCGGCTTTTCCGGAAAAACTTGCCAGCTGTCTACACTGGCCACTTGAATTTCTGCAAAAGTACTGACTTCCTACTGTAAGAAATCAGTGCTTTATGCGGAAATACTATGCTGCTCCCGTTCAGGCAAAAGTCCCTGAGATTTGTTTTCTGCAAAAAAGCCCTGATCGCGAAAATGGTGATCGGGGCTTTTTTGTGGAAAAGCGTGTCTAGATTGGCCACGGACGCTTTTCCGCAAAAAGTGCTTTGGTGGAAAAGCGTCCGTGCCAATCTAGACGCTCTTTTCCGAAAATGCTTTTAATGGAAAACTTTTCCGTTAAAAGCATTTCCAGAAAAACATGCCAGTCTAGACATAGCCACATTGTGGTTATTGGGTGGTTTCCTCATGGTCTACTGTGCCAGCTCTCTACACAGAGTTAGGGCAGCAGACAGAAAGGATATAAAGCAAACAAACACATGTAGCCTAACATCTAACCAGAACACCCTTTAGAGACTCCTGAATTTAAGACACCTGTTCTTAAACAGGCATCTCAATGGCTACCTCCTCAGACATTATGCCAATGAGAAGAGATTGTACTGAGATGTAGAATGGCAACCCAGTTCCATATGATCAGAAGACAAAAACACTCAGCTTGAGTGAACCAAACACTGCCATCCCATTAATAATCATTTTCCTAGTACAACACGGCTATTAGAAACAGCAAAAAGTGTCATTCTTGTAGTTATTCTTTGGTCAGGAAGTTAGCTATCAACTATAACAGAAGATACAGGGTGAGCTTCCCTCCCCTGTAATTAAAGAAGAAATCTCATGTCAGTTTCTTCTCACAGCTTAGTGCACACCACCAGTAATTAGCTCAAAGCTTCTCTCTGGGGGTGAATCAATATTGACAAGTTCATGTCCAATACACCCATACAAAAACAATTTGAGTGAATTAACAAATGATCAACTTAGTCTGCTTACTGTGTTGTGTTCGTGCCAATTAAGTTGCTGCTAGGAACATCCTGAGATATTAGCCTCTCCAATATCTGCAGGGCTTCCTGGTGAAAATGGTATGATCCTGTCTATTCCAAATGGTTTATGCAAGACACAATGGATCAGACCACCTTTAGGGATACTGCATCCCTGAATATCACTAATATCTGAAGATAAGGGTTATCCTGCTCATTCATATGCAGATTTTTTTAATCCCTGTAGCCACTATGTACATGGGGGGGAAGTCTCCCTACATGGGTGTTTCTTCCTGAGGGGTATGAATGTACAATTTGGATTTGAAGTTCATCTCTAAGCTAGTTTGTATTCGGATTGTCAGCAGTCCAGTCCAGCTCACCGATCACCCCATCATTCAGATGTGATAAAAGCACTTGTGCATCAGTTGAAACTAGTAATACCTCAGGGTCCACACAGTTTGTCTCATATGGCTGCTTTCCATTAGTAGTATAAAAACTGCTATAAGCATTTGATCAACCCTTCGTCCACACCTACTGACCTGAAGAAAAGACAAAAATAGAAGAGACACAGAAGTCACTCATGCAAGTGTTTCTGTACTGTGGGAGCTATGGAAACCAGAATCTTAATGCACTGGCCAACAAAAATGTCACCAAGTACCAGAAAAGCCCTGAAAGTTGCAAGCAAGAACCAAACACTTCAAGGTGTTAAGACCCTAGTGTGTCCAATCTGGGAGTTTATTGTACTACTGAACAATTTATCTTGCCTGAGGTGAGAGCTCCAGGGTTGGTAAAGGACACACATTGCACAAAGAAAAGTTGAAGTAGTGTCAGTTGAGATGCTAGGTAATTCATAACAGCAACCCTGAGAAGCGTATTACTTATTCTGTAGCCTAAATCATAGAACCATAGAACTGGAAGAGACCTCAGAAGGTCGTCAAGTCCAGACCCATGCTCTAGGCAGGACCAATTCCAACTAAATCAACCCAGCCAGGGCTTTGTCAAGCCGAGACTTAAACACCTCTAGGGATGGAGACTCCACTACTTCCCTAGGGAACCCATTCCAGTGCTTCACCA